TTCGGCCTCTGAATTATCCCAGTAATTTATTCAACTAATTTGGTACTTCTTTAGCTTCTGAGCTTTCTGCTGATCTGTAGAATTCTCTGTCATCAAGCAGAGCTTTGGCTTTCTCGTTTTAGTCTTCTCGATTCATGACGACCGTTGACCGGCCCTTATCCGTGGGCAGTATGATAATATGGTCGTCCGTTCATTGTTCTTCAATAGCTTTCGCCTCATTCTTCGACGGAACTAACCGTTCCGTCATTTTAGGCTGTAAGGGTTTGCTCTAGTTGTCTATAAACGGTGCTGGATATCCACGCTGGAATAAAGTTTCTTTGAGGCTGGCCATTTCTGCTTCCAATGTATCCATAGAGCAGATTTTGCTCATCCTCTGGAATAGAGTACATACAAAGTTTATTTTTTACTAAATGTGAACAAAACTCAAAGAATGCAGCTACTGTCCTTTCCATATATTCTTATGAAAGACAATTCGGGTAATGGAGCCATCTTTCTTTCGGGACGTGTGAACGTCCAGGGATGAAAGCTGGTTTTCGCGTTCCTGTGTCATAGTAAATTTAATTTTGGGATGCAAACTGTTCATTGCAAACAATAATTCTTCGGCTTCCTTCATGCTGTCAAAAATCGCGAAGACATTATCTGCATATTTTCTGCAGAGCTTTGCTTTGTTCCATTTTGTGGATGCTTTTTCTTCTAGGTGACCCATAGCTGTGCCAGCAAAAGTCAGTCCTAAGAGACTACCCATTGAGACTTTATCAATGTTTCGATATAGTTGGCCATTAAAAAATATTGCACATCCTTCTTACACAATTGTAATAGGTCCGGTAATATTTCGGGTGAGAGGCGAATTTAAGAAGAATATACACAAATGATTTGAGGTTAAATAGGCTCTCCGGGAAAGAGAATTTTTATTTTGTGAATTTTCGAAGCTGTAGACCCTGCTTCGTCTTCAGACAGGGGAAAGTGAATGCAAAAACAACTAACAGTTAACATTTTAAATCGTAGGAAGGTCAATAATGCAGTTGCGTAGGCTGTTGCAGTGTGTCTCCTTCTGTTCGGATAGGTTCGTGTCTCGCCCATTTCTGTTTGAGACTTTTGTACGAACGGTCCAACTCGACATGCCTGTTGATGCATGAAGTGTCTGAGTGCATAGCTTCTAGGAATTCACGTCCTTTCTTGGAAGAACAGGTAGCGACAATACGAG